CCCCAAAACCCCAAAACCCCAAAACCCCTGAAAATACTTATAATGGGAATATCTTTAAAGTTTAATTAGTAAAATAAAATAGATATATTTAAACTCATTCACTCCAAAACATTAAAATGAGCAACAACGACGTATCCCCAGCAAAGAGTTCAAACAACAGAGGCCGTGGTTCCCCAACAGGTAAAAAAGCAGTTAATGCCTCTTAAAGCGCACTCGACTAAAAAGAGTTATTCTTTGGCCTGACTGAGAAAGAGATTGAGATTGAAAGTCTTAAGACAATTATTGTGGCCTAGGATGAAAAGATTAAGGTAGTTGATTCCTTGAGGGATGATCTAACTATTGCCAGAGATCATCTTAGAGAATCAGAAGCTGCTAGAGTAGATCTTTAAGAATTATTGAGATAAAACGCAGAGCGAGCAAGGGAAGAGGCAGCCAAGAACCTGAAATTCCAGGAGACTCTAATCCTTGAAAACCAACGACTTCAGGCTGAGCTAGACAAGACCAAGGGAGAGAAGTTAGAATTAGAGAAGGATCTTGGACAGAAGAACATTACCATCCAGATGCAGACTGAGAAAATCCTACAGTTAAATGCTGAGATTGAGAGTTTAAGACAGGAATTACAGAGAAGAGAGGACGTAGACAGATAACTAAAGACTGCCAATGAAATCATATCCAAACTTAATGATTAAAAACTCAGACTTCAAAAGGATCTTGAGACTGCTAGTGACTATCTTTTAGAATAAGAAGCTAAGACATACAAAGCCAATAAGACTTCACTTGAATTATTGAGATAACTTAAGGACGCTGAGATTGAAATTGAGACACTTAAGAACTATATCATTGAACTTAAATAGAGAATCGCTGTGTATATTCCTATTAAGGATGATGCAGTTGATAAGAAATTGGCTGAGTTTATCAATAACTACCCTGAGAGAAGCAAACTTAAGATCATGTTTATGAGAGAGAGCGAGGGAGTCTATCAATTCGGAACTAAGAGAGTTTATGTTAGAGTCGACAAGGACAAGATTAACAGTAAGTCATTGCTCTATAAATCTAATGTTATTTTTAGTTCGTGTTGGTGGTGGATATCTGTCAATTGATGAGTTCTTAGATTAGTACACTCCATAGGAGCTTGATAAGATGGAGAGAAAAGATCCACTTAAGAAATTCTCTGAAAAAGTTGCTGTCTAGAAAACTTTAACAGGGAAAGAACTCAGAGAGAGCTCACCAATTAGATCTCCAGAAAGAAGATGAAGCTATAATTTTGATTTTAAAGGCATTAACAAAAAGTTTATTTATCAATTAACGACACTCTTTTCATGTTAATGAACATTTAACATTGGGGTTTTGGGGTTTTGGGG